GGAAGGAAGGAAGGAAGGAAGGAAAGAAGCAAGAAAGGAAGGAAAGAAAGAAGGAAAAAAAGACTGAGCAGGGTGGCTGCGGGTGAGCTTGGGTGGTCCTGGGTGATTCCAGGCCACGATGCCCCACGGAGTGTGTCACACGCATGTACATGTGTCAAATACAGAGGTCTCCCATACCCACAGTACTGTTTGTGAAGAAGTGACAGGCAGGTCTCTCAGCTGCTGTGCTCTGCTGGCCCAGGGGAATGGCGTTACCTTCATGCACTGGCCTTGCTCTGGGTCCTCTCCCAGGCTCTGTGACTCCTATCCACCCAGCTCTGAGGAGACTTGGGGCATGAAGCTCCTGTAGATGGTGCCCCTCTCCATACCTGATTTGTTTCTGTCTTCCAGGGGGACGCCGGGCCACAAGGCTTCCCAGGAATCCCAGGGGATGTGGGCCCCAAGGGAGAGAAGGTAAGTGTCCCTGGGCTGGGCACCCTTTCCTGCCCAGCTGACCTGTGGGTATCCCATGGGTCTCTATGACAGGCTTCTCTATGTCTCAGGGAGATCCAGGGATCGGGCCAAGAGGACCTCCAGGGCCCCAAGGGCCTCCAGGGCCCCCAGGACCATCTTTCAGGCATGATAAGCTGGTGAGTCCCACCTGGCCCTCTGCACATGGAGACAGACATCCTCAGGCCTAGGGTTGTGGCCTGGGAGAAGTGGCTTCTGCCCTGGGATCTCCTGGGCACTTGTGACATCTCAAGTATCTGCCTTGTGGGCAGTCAGTGGGCAGGGAACAGTGCATAGGGTGGCCTGGTGATGGCCTCTCTGGCTCCCTTAGACCTTTATCGACATGGAGGGGTCTGGCTTTAGCGGCGACCTGGAGACCCTCAGGGTGAGTAGCCACAGTCCTGTCTCAAGCTGGGGTGGAAGTAGGATGGCTGGGAGGGGTGTGGTCATCCTGCGCAGGCCGTGGCATCACTGTCTCTGTCCCTGCAGGGCCCTCGAGGCTTCCCTGGGCCCCCTGGGCCCCCTGGAGTCCCAGGCCTGCCTGGTGAGCCTGGCCACTTTGGAGTAAACAGCTCTCATGTTCCTGGACCCCCAGGCCTCCCCGGTGTGCCTGGGAAGGATGGCTCCCCGGGGTTTCCTGGGCCCCAGGTAAGACCTGCTCTCCTATCTGTTAGGTGTTGGGTGACACTCAGAGGGCCCAGTTTGGTCTCATGCATTCCTCAGGGTGTGGGTGCCTCCCTTCTGGGCTGCCTCATGGTGCTGAGGTGCTGACCTCATTGTAGCCCCTGTAGGAATGACCCTTGTGGGAGGGGTGGGAGAGTTGGGGTCTGCACTGCCCATCTGACCACATACGAACCAGGCATAGCCCTGTGGTGCCCACAGATGTCCCTGCTGCTGTGGGCCATATAGCTTGGCTCTCACACCTGGTGGTCAGGTGGCTCTGAGTCACTGTCTTACAGACAGTGCCCTCCCTGTTAGTGATGTGCAGGCCCCAGGATCCCCGTCCCTCGCTGTGGTGCTCCTCTTGGACCCTGGATCCATCTTCTTGCCACAGTTCCCAGGCGGGATGTCTGGGTTAAAGGCCACATTGTGTCTGCTTTACACCTTCCCAGGCACCTCTGGGAAGCAGAGAGGGTCCCCTGCCCTGAGCCTATGAGCCTGCCACACCCCTACAGGACCTGCTACCCTTCTTGTCCTCCTAACTTGACTGGAAACTTAAGAGACAGGGACCAGCTCTCAGTGCCGTGGTCTTGCCTGTGTTGGGATGTTCTGTGCACTGGCCTCGGGGCCTTCCTGGTCCCAGCTATGGAGACATCCTGGGCCCTGTGAGAGTTTCCTGAGACCCGACTATGGGGACTCCTATAGTTTTCTTCTAGTCCTCAGTGTTGATTTCTGCTTTTCCCCTGCAGGGACCCCCTGGCTCCCCAGGAAGAGAGGGTCCTCCAGGAAAAGCGGGCCAGAAAGGCAGCCTTGTAAGTTCCTTTCAGGAGGCCAGATGCCCCTGCCAAGCACCTCTGGGAGCTGTGTCCCCACCCACCCTGGGCCAAGTGGGAAGGACTCAGCACAGCCACCCAGTGTTGGGTCAGGGGGAAGCTGGGGCAGGGACTGCTTTCTCTCCTTGCTTTTTCTGCCAGTCTAATTTTACTGTAATACTGTTCTTTCTTGCAGGGTGACATGGGAGCCCCTGGACCCAAGGTACAAACCCCTCGTGCCATCCCCACATCTCCTGCACTGTGAGCTTCATGCTTGGCACCAGGGAAGTGTCAGTGAGCTCATGCTCCCTAGTGCTGACCATGACCCTAGCCCTGACCACCCTGCCAAGTGTTGCCAGGCAGGTGCTGGCATTAGTCCCAGGCAATCATGTCCTCGATAAACCCTGGGCTGCTAATGAGACATGTGAGGGTTCTGGATCTGGCAAGAATTTGAAGGAGCCTCTGCCCCATGAACCAAGTGCTGTACCCATACTGTGGTTCCTGGCCATGGCCTGGTGGCCCCAGACCTGCTGGCCAATAGGAAACACTGTGCCTTACTTGGTCCAGGTTCCCCAGGGACAGGCCCCAGCCTGCTGGCAGATTGGTCCCTTGACCTAGCCAGTGGGCCTTGGGGATAGCACTGGCCCAGCTCCTCCTGGACCTGCTGAGGGTGGGGCTCTATGAAGGACAAGGCTGGATGGGGACCATGGCAGATGGCTTTCCCTGGTGTCGACATTTCCCACAGAAAATGCTTCAGCCTGGTTTTAGCTGAAGCCCAGGCCCAAGGTGGTGACTTTTTCTCTCCACTCTGCAGGGCAGCAAGGGAGACCCAGGCCCTGTGGGTGCTACTGGGGAAAGTGGCTTTATAGGAGCCCCTGGGCCTGCTGGACCCCCAGGACCCCCAGGGCCACCTGGGCCACCTGGACCAGGATTCGCCGCAGGATTTGTGAGTGGCAGCAACTCTGGGCCCTTGGAATCCCAGCCTATGTCACAGCCCCTCCCTGGGTGGCTTCTGGCTGGGCAGCACTGGCTGCCATTCCCTGGCATGGGCTTCTCTTGTCCCCCATGGGACTGCTGATCGGAGTCCTGTAGGCTAGTCCAGTTGAGGTGCTGCAGGGCTCAGTGTGGACTACACATGCAAGGCAACCACCTTCCCTGCCAGGGCCCTGTCCACTCAGCCTTGTGTACCCTCTGCCGCTGTTTCAGCAAGGGTCAGAAACCAATGTCCCTGTGTCCCTGCAGGATGACATGGAAGGCTCCGGGGACCCCTTCTGGTCAACAGCCAGAGGCTCTGCAGGGCTACAGGTATCACACGCAGTCTGGGAGGAGAGGACCACTAGGAGCAGTGGCATGGGAGCTGGGAGCGGGACCATCTGTCCTCATGGAAACCAGCTGCGCTGAGCCTGGTCTTCAGGGAGGGACTGTGCTGGGTGCTTGGGGTCAGTGGGACTGGGGCACATGACCTGTGGGACAGGTCTTCCTGGGGAGCAGGATGTGCAAGTCTCCCTGTGGCTCTGACTATAGCTCTGGTTTGGGGAAGTAGCCAATTAGGCCTGAGAAGAATGGTAACTTAGAATGTTCTTTTATATATTTAAAAACCTTCCTGGTAGCCCACAGTTGCTGTCCACTCCTGGAGGTAGATGTGGGCAGGGCACTGGCCTCCAGGGTGCTTTGTGTGTAGCTCTTGATGGCCAAGTACACCAGTGAGACCTGGGCTGGCAGATGCCCACACTCACTGTGATATTGAGAGGGAACAGAGATGGGCTATCAAGGTGGCTGCAGGGAGGAGACACTGACCCTGGGTGTCTTCTGCCCACAGGGACCTCCCGGCCCACCAGGACTCAAGGTCAGTGAGCAGCCCAGCCCATGCGCGGTTATGGGGTGGATGAATATGGCTGTTCTGCTGTGGGGTGCTACCTGGCAGCCAAAGGTCTCCACTCAGGAGCAGTAGGGGGCCATTGTGGGAAATGTGAAAAGCTTGACAAGAAAACAACCAGCACCCTAGACCTGAGCATTGGGGAAGGGAACAGTTGGCCAGCACCTCTTCTTTCCAAAGCCCTAGAACCAGGATGGTTCCAGGCATCTGTGGAAAAGGGGGCTCAGCAAGAAGCTTGGAGTCCACTCAAGCCCAGGTTCAAAGTCAGCAGACAGTGGGTGTAGGGGTTCTCTCCTCAGGTCTCCTCTGGGCCCTGGACAGCAGCCACGTCTCTGGGAGCTAGGTTGGGGTTCATGGGGTACCTGGTTTGCTCTGCTTTCCCGTGTGGATGTGGAGATGGACATTCAGAGGCTGTGCAGCTAAGAGGCATCCTGGGCCTTCCTGTGCAGAGCAGAGGCCTTGTGTAGAGTAGCCATGGACAAATGTGGGGGTCCAGAGCAGCAGCCATGTGCTGGTGGGGAGGCGGCCCAGGTTGGGCCTCCCTCAACTCAGGGTGCCTCCTGGGTGACAGGCCCCACTTCCTGCATGGAAGAGTGGGAGGGTGTCAGCCCTGCCGCAGACTCACAGAACTTTCTGTCCATGCAGGGAGATCCCGGCCTGCCTGGGCTTCCTGGAGACAAAGTGAGTCCCTTGCCCCAGTCTAGTAAACTGAGTTAATTGAGGGTGGGAGGAACCCTAGAAGGGGCCAGGAGGCCTCAGCACTTGGTCAGTAAGGACGTTGGGCATGGGGTGAGGGATGTGGTGGACCTCTGTGCAGCCCCATCTTTCTCCTGCCTGCCTGGCCAACCCTCATCTGCTGCAAGTCTTTTTATTTAACTCATGCTCCTCTTAATGACAATAGCTCCTGCCCTACAGAGCCCACACACATAGTGCCCCCAGGAACCTAGTGTTTTAACACGGGGAGGGGATGAGCCAGGCTCTGACTCTGCGGCATGAGAGAGCCACGGAACATCTGATGCTCCTCTGGCTCTACTACGAGCTTTTCCTCTCCTTGGAGGTGACAGTGGAGTCACCTTAGGGGGGCTGAGCCAGTGGCTGGCAGACATGTGGCTGGCATCCCCACCCATGGGCCCTGAGGCTTTGTCTAGGGGTCTCCACACCCTTGGCTTTGCGGTGATGTGCAGACCCTCTGTCCATCTGTCCAGGGGGAAGTTGGAGCAGATGGAGCTCGTGGGTTCCCTGGCCTCCCAGGCAGCGAGGGTGCAGTTGGGCCCATGGTGAGTGACCACAGCTGGCACGGGGTGGGCACAAGGCTCCAGACAGAACTGGGCTGAGAGCTGGCACAGGGGCAGCTCTGGGGGTCTCCTGGAGCCCAAGTCCCCTCACCATTGTCTTAGTCCAGGGAGCCAAGGGTGAGTCATAACCCTGTGGGTCCCAGGGATGCAGAGCTCTCAGTCCCTGGCAGCCTCCATTTCTGTGTATAATGAATAATTTCCTTCTGTCTCTGCAGGGACCTAAAGGAGAGAAAGGGAGCCCAGGAGAGAAAGTGAGTGTCTCTGAGGGGGATGTAGGACACAGGGTGGGGCTGAGACACCCTCAGGCTTAGGCAGGGCAGGGTGGCTCTCAAGCCTCCAGGCCCACCTCAGCACCATGGCTCTGGGACCCTCCACGCCAGGCCAGGGGCACCAGGAACCTGGCCAGAGCAGCTTCAGAGTGGACACATAACTTCCTTTTCCAGGGTGACCCAGGGAAAGATGGCGTGGGGCAACCTGGCCTCCCAGGGCCCCCAGGACCTCCAGGCCCTGTGATCTATGTGTCGGAGCAGGAGGTAAGAACATGCATGGGGCACTGGTGGCCTGACCCTAGTCCCTGAGGGTATGGCCCAGGCCTGCATGGCTGGGGACCCACCAGGACCCAGCTCTGAGGCTCTGTGTGTCCCGCCTGCTTCCTGCCCCAGCCCTTGGTCCTTTCGTATCTGCGGCAGCTCAACTTGCCACAAGCAGAAAGATCCCACAAGCAGGGGCTCCGCTGCAGGAACTGAAGCCCTGGGGTTGGATGTGATGCTGGGTAGCCACGCGGTGTGACCAGCAGCTCAGATCTCTGCTGCCCATGGTTGGCCCTGGGTGGGGCTGCCCTGGTTAGGGCTGGAGGAGTGGGGCCTGGGTGCCATCCTGGATGCAGTCTCAGTACTGTCTGTTGTGTGACCTGGACCCATTACCCACCCTTTCTGTGCTCGGTGTCCTCATTTTTGAGATGAGGAGCACAGTAGTCTCAGGATGGTTTGGGTGAAGAGTGTGATAGGTCACAAGCCTGGCCAGGACTGTGGAGGGGTCTGAAAAGGTAGCAGGAGGAACAAGGCACTGTGGTGCACGCCTCAAATCTCAGCACTCTGGGAAGCTGAGGCAGGAGGATTCCAAGTTGGGGCCCAGCGTGGACTGTTCAGTAACTTACTGAGTCCCTATCTTAAATTAAAAAAAAACAAAAACAAAAACAAAACAAAACAAAACAACCTATAAAGAGGTGGGGATGGCACAGTACAAAGGCCCTGGGCTCAACCTGGGTAGCAAAGGTGCGGGCAGGAGAAGCCCATAGTCCTGGGCACATGGGTGGGACCATAAGTGGATGGAGCCTCCTTGGGAGGGGGGCGTGCAGCAGGTGTGAGGTACGTTGCACCATCACACGAGGCGGACTTGAAGACACTGCCCATAGTCTGGGGACAGGAGTAATGTCCACCCTAGCCTGGGAGCTGGGTTTCCCCAGAGTGGCTACGCTGTCCCCTGTGGGACCTAGTCCAAGCTCGGGAAAGCCACAGAGAGCAGGATCCTGCACCTGCCAACCTGCGCGAGTCCCACAGCAGGAGCCAGGTAGTTTTAATGATGTCTCCTTTCTCTCTCTGATTCTTGTTTTCTGCTGGCGGGACAGCAAGCACTGGCCAGTGTGCCAGGTCCTGAGGTAGGTACAGCTGCAGGGAGGATGCTGGTACCTACCTAATGGAGGACACCCCCATTCCTGTCCCCAGTGCTGACAATGTCCCTCTTCCTGCAGGGCAGGCCAGGCTTTGCAGGCTTCCCTGTAAGTAGACATACCCTTGTCCTATGGCCATGGAGCCCTTGGTAGGGACAGTCGGTCGCATCCTCAGGACAGTGCTGTGGTAGCGGGACAAGGGCTCAGGCTCTTATCTCAGTCAGGAGCCTGTGGCCAGCCCAGGACTGGAGAACAAACTCGAGAGATGGGATGAGGCGGTCACTAGGCAGGGACATGGGTTGCAGTTTCTCATTCTTGTCTGATCTCCACCCCAGGGACCAGCTGGGCCGAAGGGCGACGAGGGCTCCAAAGGTGCACAGGGCTCCCCAGGACCCAAGGTGAGGGCTTGGGCACTGCCTATTGGGCTGTCAGTGGCCAGGGGCCAGAAGACCTATAGTGGCTATACTCCATTTGTGACCCAAGGGACAAGCCCTGTGTGGTCAGGTGGCCACTCTGAGACAGTGTGTCTCCCACAAGCCCTGACCACATGAGACCAACTCTGCCTTGTGTCCTTCCCTGGTCCCAAGTGCCCTCTGGAGCCCTGACAGCTACTGCCTTCTTGTTCTAGGGTGAGAAGGGGGAGCCAGGTGGCATCTTCAGCCCTGATGGCAGAGCCCTGGGTCCTGGGCTGAAGGGAGCCAAGGTGAGCTGCGGGTAGCATGGTGGTACCTCGGGGCACAGACCGTCCTGATTGCCCCCAGGACCTCCTTGCTGGGCTCCTAGGCATCTAAGGCCCCATTCCTTAGCTGAGCTCTTTGCAGGAAAGTGGAGGTTGTGGGGACCCTTCTCAGCACCCCTCTGCCAGCCTTACTGCAGCTGTGGCTTCTCCTGTGCCTCTGCTCTCCTCTGGTGGGGTACCAACAGGGGCCTGATACTTGGGACAAGCCCTTCAGTTTTGTGTTGGGAAGCCAGAGCCCAGGATTTGTGGAAAGGCCAGAGGTTGGGTCTCCGAGCCTGGAGACAGCCCTCTACCCCTCTACCCTCAACTTCACATCTGAATTGTGCTGGGTACCCAGTGCAGAAACATGTGGGTCCACTCAGTGTGGCCAGGCCCTGGGGTTGACCCCAGAGACCCTGGCCCCTAACATGTTCTCATCTCTGCCAAGGGGGAGCCTGGCTTCCGTGGACCCCCGGTGAGTAGGACATGCTCTGCACCAATCTCTGTGCTCTGAGCTGGGCACCCCTGGGTCCTGCCTCACCTGAAGCCCAGGGTGGTGGGCAGGTCCTCGCCCCTTTCCTCTACCCTGAGAAATCCCTCAGCTCCCCTTCCTCCTCACAGGGGCCATATGGTCGGCCTGGGCACAAGGGAGAGATCGGCTTTCCTGGACGGCCGGTAAGCACTGGCCTCGGCTCAGGCTCCACCCAGGGGCAATAGCCTAGGCCTGACAGGGAGGAGCCAGGGCCACAAGGGGTGGCTAGGTGTACAGCACTCATCCTTTCCTAAGCACAGCTTTTGTGCCATGTGGCCAAAGGGTGTCCAGGCCTTGTTCCTGGCTGAGGGGTCCTGGGGTGGGAGAGGGACCAGGCTGGGCCCTCTAGTCCAGGCACTCCTGCCCTAGAGTCCTCTGGCAAGAGGAGGGAGAGCAGAGGTCCCTGAGGGCACATGGGAGTACAAGCTGCGCTGCAGGATGGAGCAGCTCTGCTGGGATTGTGGGGACCCAGGCTGCTGGCACCCCATTGCCCCCTGTGCTCTGCCAGGGCCGCCCCGGGATGAATGGGCTGAAGGGAGAGAAGGGGGAGCCTGGAGACGCCAGCCTCGGATTTGGCATGAGGGTGAGTCCTGCAGAGGTGGATGGGTCTCCAGGGACAGGGCTGGCCTGGCCTGGCTGTGACCTTGGCACCTCACTCTTCTGGCTGGCACCACAGTGGCTGGTGTTGTGAACTCACCATGCTCCGCGCATACTCACAGGCATGCATGCACATGCACACGTGTGTGCTTTCATGTGAGTACACAGTGCAATCCCGTGTGTGTACATAGTACACTGCTACTCTTACACACTCTCCTGCCTGAGCACACATATACCCAAAGCCCACAGGTGCAGGAATCCTCATGGCTTCTCCACAAGGGCATCTGGCCAGCATAGATGCTGCCTTCCTCTCACTGGTGTCCCTCTGAAGTGGTCACTACAAAACCTGGTTGGCCACAACCCAAGGTCATTACTTCTCCCCAGAGGGATATGTGGAGCAGCTGCCTTCAGAAAATGTGGCCATCTTTGTCCCTGGTTGTCTGGGACCAGCATGATGTGCTCACAGCCCTGGTTTTACTGCCTGTTAATGGCCTGGCTGGGACCCTGCCTGACCAGAGCTCTCTGTTCCCACAGGGTATGCCTGGACCTCCAGGACCTCCGGGGCCCCCTGGCCCTCCTGGGGCACCCATCTATGACAGCAATGTAAGTCACTGAGGGACTGCTCAATGGCACTAACTTGTGCCCCTCAGGAAAGCCACTGCCCTCCTTTGCAGGCTTTGCATCTTGCCATTGCCCTGTGCTGGGCCTGGAGGCCCTGAGAAGACCTACCCTAAGGATGCGGAGACCTGGGACCAGACTTGGGCCTGGGCCTGGGCCTGGGGCTGTCTCCATGTGGGAGGGGCACCGTTTTACCAGGCACAGCGCTGGACCCCATCCTTACCCTTTTTCCAGTTCCACAGCTGCTGTGGGACAGGAGGTCTGGGGTCATGGGGTGGCAGGGTACTGACCTCAGTTTCCAGGGCTCTGCTCCTCAGTGGCCACCTCTGGCCTGTTTTGGCAGGCATTCGTGGAATCAGGCCGCCCTGGAACTCCAGGAGCACAAGGTGAGACATGGGGGATTGGATGGAGTCAAGGCTCCTGTCAGGACAGATGCCTACATAGGGATATGGAGAGAGCCCAGCTCCTGGCACCTCAGGAGTGCTGTGCCCACTGCTCACTCCATCCAGACTGCCCAGCCTCTCCGGCTTGGCCTGCCTGCAACTACCATGACGGGCTGGTTTGCTCCTGCCCCACCATGGCTTCTCCCCACTAGCAGACCTTGCCAGGTACCACAGTGCATAGTGTTCTTGTTCCTCTAGGGCTTCCGGGGCCTTCTGGACCAAAGGGCGACAAAGGAGACGTGGGCCAGCCTGGACCACCAGGTGATCACTGCCTCACAAACCCCAGGCCAGGCCACGGTGGAAAGGGACTCCAGGTCCTGAGCAGGTCCAGAACACAGCTGCCTGTGGTCACTGTCTCACCCTCCTTGGGCAGAGGAAAGCTCGAGTCCCATAGCATGCCTTGCTGCTCAGCCTCCAGGCAGGGCAGGACAGGCACTGCAAGATGTCTGCACCATGTGGGCATCCCAAGGATACAGCACTTAGCACGTGGGGCCTCCTGAAGGTTGGCCCCAAGAATCGTGGCACAGGCTGCCATGCTAGAGTCCTCCTAGTTTATGCACAGCACACCAGCCCATGCACCCACAGGCAGCATGCAGAGCCCAGAGCCTGACAACAGGCCTATGTCGTGTGTCCTTGGGGATCTGAAGCCACCAGCTTAGCACCTTCTCAGGGAACTGGAGGCTGCAGCCTCAAGGCAGAGCTCGGGGCTGAGGCTCCCACCCCCAGGGGTTTCTGGTGAGGGGAAGACTTCACCCCAAGGTCAGGGCTTCCCCAAAGTCACAGTCTCCCCTAAGGAGAGGGGCTTTGTTGACCTTTGGTATCAAGTTTCCAAGTCTTCACTTCAGGGTGGTAGACTGATGAAAATAGATGGGAAGGAGTCTTAGAAATCAGACGTTAAAGAAGGAAAGTGAAATGGATCAGAGTCCAAAGGACAAAGCTGTCTCTTTGCAAAGGCTGATGACATTCATTCGCCTCTCAGGACTGATACAGAAGCAGTAGGGAAGACCTCCACAGAGGGTCCCCAGGACAGTGCAGCCCAAGGGTAGGAGCAACCCACAGCTTCACAGCAACAGACCCCTACCCAGAAAGGTCTGCAGATCAAGTGTCAGTGTTGACACAGACTTACCTGTCAGAGACAAAGGTCAGTTTAGAGATAGCAGTGACTAAAAAAAAATTTAAAAAGAAGAAATAGCAGTGACAAGACACAGGACTAGAGGTGAAAGTATCAATGAACCAGGAATAAGCAGGACAAAGAATCACCAGGAATAAGCAGGGAGCAATGTGAGGAGAGGTGTGGGAGGGCTTGCAGCCCTGTCTTAGTCCCTCCTACTTGTCCCAGCCTGACCTTGCACTCTCGCCTGCAGGGCAGTTCCCCTTGGATCTCTTCACCCTGGGAGCTGAACTGAAGGTAGGCGATATCCCTGGGCTGGGGTGCCCCACAGGGCTGAGCATGCAGCCACTTCATGAGCCTGTCCTTCCACAGGGCGAGAAGGGGGAGCGAGGGGACACTGGACAGAAGGGCGAGAGGGGAGCACCTGGGGTCGGTGGTAGCTTTTTTGGCTCCACTATGCCTGGCCCCCCTGGCCCACCAGGATACCCTGGGATCCCGGTAAGCCTGGCATGGAAGAACTCTGCAGCTTCCACCCCTCCCCCCCCACCAGACTTCACATTCTTTGCCTGTGTGCGGGACACGTGGTAGCCCTTGGGGCATAGCCTCCTAGGGCGGGGCACACAACTCCCTACTGGCATCTCTTGCTGCTGTCCTGGTGTTCTGCTCTATTATCGTCCTCATCCATCACTGTCCCCAGCTCTGAACCTTTTGCCCAAAGACTCTGGGGGCCCAGCTGCTGTCCTGAGAGCCCCAGGGGGCAGAGGGTGATGGGTTTGCTGTCATCCTAGGGTCCCAAGGGAGAGAGCATCCGGGGCCCACCTGGCCCACCTGGCCCTCAGGGACCTCCTGGCATTGGCTATGAGGGGCGCCAGGGCCCCCCTGGGCCTCCTGGGCCCCCAGGGCCCCCCTCATTTCCTGGCCCACACAGGCAGAGTAAGTGTGGGCAAGGAGTTGGGGTGGCTGGGCATAGCCTTGTCACCAGGCTGCCCATGTGGCCCACAGCATCTTGGTTTCTCTCCTGTAGCTGTCAGCATTCCTGGTCCCCCAGGGCCTCCTGGTCCCCCAGGACCTCCAGGGACCATGGGCACCTCCTCAGGGGTAAGTGGTCAGGAGGCTGGAGGGAGACTCGGGGTCCAGGGAGGAAGGCCTGCTGCTGTGCAGGTTCTGGTGTTGGTATGCTGGGGGCAGCAGCCTAGGGGCCAGAGTGAGCTGGGACCCAAGAAGGGTCCCCCCTGTGGCCACATTCCCCACCCTCTGGAAGCCCAGGCCCTAGTGCCACCATCCCAGGTGCAGGTACAGGACCCACAGAGCTTGGCCCTGCAGGTGAGGGCCTGGGCCACCTACGAGGCCATGCTGGAGAAGGTGCGCGAGGTGCCGGAGGGCTGGCTCATGTTCGTGGCTGAGGACGAGGAGCTCTACGTCCGCGTCCAAAATGGGGTCCGCAAGGTCCTGGTGAGTTATTGAGCCCCGGCCCTGCTTCACCACCCCACAAGGGGGAGGCAGGTGTCTGCCATGCTTGTTGCACCACCTCTCACCTCGAGGGTTCTTCACTTCTTAAAAAGTTAGCCACTATGTTTTGGGCAGCTTACACTCACAAGTGTTTTACCTATGTTACACACCCTCAACTGGGCTTCAGGTGGCTCCCATGGGCAGAACACAGATACAGGTCTACATACCTGTGTCCGGACAAGGCCTTCCTGCAGGATGGGCCCAGGATCAGCACTTGCCTGTGGGCTCCAGGCAGGTGGAGGCTGGGCTTGGTGGTTTCACAGTGGTGCATTACAAACACACGAGGACCATCCTTGAAGTCCCTGGATGCCTCAAGACGAAGAAGGCTGCTCATCCTCCATTCTGTGGGGCTGGGCCTGTAGGCCAGGCTCCTCCCACCCAGCCTGTACCCAGAGGCAAGGCCAACCTTGCTCCTGCTTTCTCAGAACCAGGGACCCTGTTCTGATGAGCCAGGAGAAATTCTCCTTGGTGTGACCCACGTGAGGTCTGGCACAGCAGCCCTGTGCCCCAAATAGCCCATTTTGTCTGTGGAGCCTCTGTCCACACTGAGGGGTATAGTTGATCTGATCCCACGTGGGCAGCAAGCAACCTCCATCATGGCCCTGCCAACATCACCCGTGGTGCCCACCATGCACCTGACACTGGCGCTGAGAGCAGGATAGCCGCGCCTTCCTGGTCCTATCAGGGTGCCATGTGGGGGCCAGGTCTCTGGCTACCCTCACACCAGCTAGAGTAACACTGCTGCTTCCTTCCAGCTGGAGGCCCGGATGCCACTCCCTCGTGAGACGGTAAGGAGGGAACAGACTGAGGCTGGGGCACAGTAGGGACAAGGAGGCCCACATTGCCTCGTGTTGCCGGAACACTTGGTGCTGGAAGTGTGTGTGACCCCAGTGTTTTCCGCTAGGGAAAGCAGTCAGGCTGAGAGGGTCTCCAGTGGACATCCATGTACTCCACCCTGTTTCCAGTGTGTTCAGAGGCGGGGTAGAAAGGGAGTTGGGAGCGGGCACAGTGGGGTGGACTGAAAGTGGACAGCAGAGCCCATGCTGTGGGGTTGCAGACACTGTACAGCCTTCAAGGCTCAGGGCTGGGCAGAAGGGGATGGCATGGGCCCAGGAGGCTGTGGTTGGCAAGGATTTTGCTCTGATGTGGTGGCCTAGCTGGCCACATGGAGGGTGAGACTCCAACCCTAGCATGCGGGCAGGTGGGGCTACCCCCTGGCGGGACTGCATGCCCTATGCACTCCCAGAACAACCCTGCCCACCATGGGAAGCCCAGCCCTGCTGACCCAGGGCAGAGCAGAGGTGGGAGGGGGGACAGGCAGTAGCTGGGTTGTGGGTGCAGGCTCTCCTGTCCATGACACTGTCCTCTACCATAGGACAATGAGGTGGCCGCTCTGCAGCCTCCACTGGTGCAGCTGCATGGCGGTGGTCCATACCCATGGCGGGAGCACTCCTACTCCACTGCACGGCCCTGGCGGGCAGATGACATCCTAGCCAGCCCCCCACGCCTGCCAGATTCCCAGCCCTACCCCGGACCACCACACCACCATGGCGCCTATGTGCATCACCGGCCCACCAGCCCAACAGGCTCAGCAGCCCACTCCCACCATGACTTCCAGCCCGTGGTGAGCACCCCAGGGTGGGCACAGCCCTTGGTCCTGGGCTGTGCTCAGGTCAAGGCCGTGATGGGTCAGGGTTGTCCCTGGTGGTAGTCCTCTGGGCCTGGGTGGCCCTCTGGTGGCCAAGTGGCTATCTGAAAATTCAGACATCTTGGAGGCACAGAGAAGACAGCCATAGGCCAGAAGCTTTGAGGCTCTCCTGCTGATAAGGCCAGCCCAGCTGGGGGGTGTGTGTGCTGTGCTGCACCCAGAGGACCAGCTGGCCCCACCATGCTCCATGCTGGGCATCAAGGCCACATGAGGGCTGCTTCCTGGGCCTGCGGCAGCCAGACAGCATTTGCCTCCTCAGAGCTATCCCCAGGGCCTTCAGTACCTGTCACGTGGCTGAGGGCTGTGGTGTATGACATGTTATCTCCCTGCAGCTCCACCTGGTGGCGCTCAACAGCCCACTGCCAGGTGGCATGCGTGGCATCCGTGGGGCAGACTTCCAGTGCTTCCAGCAGGCTCGAGCAGTGGGGCTGAGCGGCACCTTCCGTGCCTTCCTGTCCTCAAGGCTTCAGGACCTCTACAGCATTGTGCGGCGTGCAGACCGAGGGGCTGTGCCCATTGTCAACCTCAAGGTGGGTGGCCCAACCCAGCCCACAGCATAGTGCTGGAGGTATCCTTAGATTATGTCAGGTCTGGGCTCAGGTGAGAGATCCAGGCAGGGCTTTGCTCAGGGCTTGAAGGTCATAAGGTTCTGCTGCTGTCCCCTCCTGGAGCTGAGCTGGGAGAGTACCACACCTGTGGGCAGCCATGTCCTGGAGACTAGGCAGGGCCTCATGCTGGAAGTCACTGCTGTCCCAGGACATCCTGTAAAATCCCCATGCTGCCCAAACTCCTGACTCTTGCAGTGCCCCATGGGGGTTCTAGTACCCAGCCATGGATGTTTCTGGTGGCTCATGCTCTGACCATGTATGGATGGCAGGGCCAGGACTCCATGGGGCATCAACCTACACAGGTGGCAGGTCATCCCACATGCAGGGAGGGGTCAGGAAATACCCCTTGAGCCACTGGGCCTGGTGCACCTGTGGCTTTATCCTATGGCTTTTTCATCATTTGGGAAAGGGGTTCCCCGTGGGGTTTATGTTTTATTTATTTGGTACAGGGTTTTGCTACACAGCTCAGACTCGTAGTGATCCTCCTGTCTCAGCCTCCCCAGCACTGGATTACAGGCATGCACTACCATGCTTGGTTTCAGTGGCCAGCACTGTGTGCCATGGCACGTAGGACTAGGGATCGAACCCAGGTCCTTGCACTTGCCTGGCAGGTGCTTAGATCAGTGAGCTATCTCCCCGGCCTTTTTTTTTTTTTTGAGACCAGGTTTCACTATGGAGTTCAGACTGGCCTGGAATTCATTACGTATCCAGGCTGGCTTGGAACTCACAGCAATCCTCTTGCCTCAGTCACCTGGGTGCTGGATTATATGATATACTGCCACTATAGCTCCAGGGGCCCCCAGAACTAATGACAGGGCACACACAGACCTGGGTCCCAGGTGGGGTTAGTGCCAGGGTGGAGGAGTACCTCGCCTCAACAGCACTGAGTGCCTGGGTCTCTGCCCGGGTCAGGTTCTGGGGCTCACTGGATGACGTGAGCCCCATCTTCCCTTTGCAGGATGAGGTGTTGTCTCCCAGCTGGGAAGCTCTGTTCTCAGGTTCCCGGGGCCAGCTGAAGCCCGGGGCCCGCATCTTCTCCTTTGACGGCAGAGATGTCCTGAGGCATCCAGCCTGGTAGGTCCCCTGCAACATGGCAGCTCAGGGAGGGCCCCACACAGGGATGGCCTGGTTTTCCACATGCTACCTCTGTCTCTGGACTGACCTGTCCATGCTGAGACCCAAAACTATAAAACCCAGGTGTGGTGTGAATAGCATGGCTCTGGGCACCACTGCACCTCCTAACCATGTGGCCAGGCAGGCTCCCCTTCACCATCTGTGAGGATTTCTCCAGTCTAATCCAACCCAACAAACTCACGAGGAGACCCTAAGCCTGTGGAGCATTCCCCAAGAGTCCTTGCCCAGAATCCTTGTGCTCTTGTGGCACAGGAGTGGCCAGGCTGCCCTCAGAACAGTACCACACAGTAACCTCCCCTGATGGTATGATGACATCCTTGCCCCCAGCCCCCTGCTATTGAAAAGCATCATCTGCTTTTACTGAAAGGAACCCACAAAAAACTCCCTGGCTCTACATGAGAGTTACCAGCAGGTGGGGCTTGTTCCTGGTACATAGCACCTAATCACAGCGCCAGGGCTGGCCATGACCTCTGATGTCTGGGAAGGCTGACAACATGCTGTCTTGCAGGCCCCAGAAGAGCGTGTGGCATGGCTCTGACCCTAGTGGGCGCCGGCTGACCGAGAGCTACTGTGAGACATGGCGGACAGAGGCAGCTGGGGCCACAGGCCAGGCCTCCTCGCTGCTAGCTGGCAGGCTGCTGGAGCAGAACGCTGCAAGTTGCCACAACAACTACATCGTCCTCTGCATTGAGAACAGTTTCATGACACCCTCCAAGTAGGGCCCTGTGGCTAGATGGAGGCAGTCGGAAGACAGGCACAGGCAGGGAGCAGCTGGCCAGCCTAGGGGCTGGCAGGATATGTTTCTGTGCAGTTCACATTTCATATAATCCTTGAGAAATAAAAGAAGCCAAAGAGTGTATTTTTTTAAAAGTTTAGAGCAGCTCAATGCCTGAATGTCCCCACTCCCACCCTCCCCACTATGTTGGCCAACTATGACATGTTGCTGGCCTCTGTGCCTACGGCCACATCGGACCACAGCTCAACTTCAGCAAAAGGCTGCCCCAGGATGTGGCTGAGACTTGCATGCATCCTGGCCTGCAGGCTCATGGGCCTACCAGTGTGGGAAGGGCCTGGCTCCCTGGCAGGTGTGCAGTTTCCTGCCTGGTTCCTCTCTGCCCACAGAGACACCGGCAACAGAGGTGCTGAAGGCTGGGTTCAGTTAGCATGGAGCTCCTGGCCTCCCTTGCCACCTGCTGGCTGTGCCAGGTACACATTCATCCACAGAGACAATGGCCACATACTAGGCTAGGGCAGACCCCCACCCCTGGCCTTAACTGCTGCACTGACCCAGTTGCGCCACGGGAGCAGGGTCCAGCTGTCCACTGTCCTCCCAGGCTGTGCCCAGGGACAGGGTGAGGCATACTGTGGTTTGTCCACGGCTTCCTTCCAGCCTGCCTGGGTATCAAGGCCTTCTCAGGTCTCTCCTCAGGCTCATATCTCAGGTGACCCCAAAACCAGTCCAGAGTAGTGTGACCCTGCTGCCTGAGTAGGAGAAGTCTGTGGGTTATAAGACAGGCCTAGTAGTGTCTTATCCCCAACCCTTTGGCCTGCAAGTTCCAAAGTCCAGAGTATTTGTGCTGCAGTGGTCACGTGCTTGCCCACAGTTGCCATACCAATGTGCTTCAGCCTCACTATGTGGTATCTATGGCCTGAGGATTGGGTGAAATTCGTGGGGCTGGTTCTGTAACTACGTGGTGTAGAACATTTCAAAAGGATGCAAATAAAAACTTTTTACACAGACACAGCTTATAAGCAGCCTTCCCTGTTACTAAAGAGCAAAATCATCCACCATAAGCCCTTGGTAGTCTTGTGTCCTTGGATTTCCTAGTGGACAATCTGAGGGAGCACTGGTGGATGTGGATGAGTATGTAAGTGTGCAGGATATGCTCATGCAGGTATGTGGGGTATATAGTGTGCATATATGCCCATGCATGTGTGTAGAAATGCATACATGTATATGGATGCACAAAGTATGCATGTGTTAGAGATGTGCAAACACACAGATGCAGGGTACAGCTGTGTGCTGATGTGCTGTACAGAGGTGTAGATTCTCAGCATTTGCCCTTCTTGAATCTCTCTGGTGGCTGGCTGTCTTCACCTGAATCCAGGCCAGCACCATTGCTCCCTACACAGGTGCTATAAGTTGGGTTAGTGTTCTCTGCACTTGTTACGGGTGGGCTTGGGTTCTGAGGTTGCATTTTGTTCCTTCTCGTCATTTTGTGTAGCACTGTCTTCTGACTTTGTTGTTGATCTACGTTGTAGTTATAACCTTAGCATGTACTGAAGTTCAGGTACAGATCTACATAGTTTGGATTTATCCAGCTGTGCCTGGCTTGGGTCTGGCTGCTCTGCTCAGCTCCTTCCTGCTGCTGCCCTTGAGGGTGAACCTGTTGTGCCCTTCTGGCAAGATTTTCTGCTCCTGGACCAGCTGTGTGGTTCTATCCTCTATACTCTCTGCAGGGATTGCAGCTGCAGGGTTTCACCCCAGGCCTGTATGCCAGGCCTGAGCTGAGTCTGGAGGGGACAAGATGGAGTAGGGGGGAGAGGCAGCTCTCCCACACACTCACCAGACCTGGGCTAGGACTGGGTCTGGGGGTTCCCGGAAAGCGGCAGAAATTCCTACTCGGCAGGCGGGGTAGGGGAGGTGCTCAGAGTGGTTGGGAGCATCCCAAGGGGGTGGAAGATGGTCTCACCCCTGCTGTGCCTGGGCTGGGACCAGTTAATAGGTCATGTTGGCGCAGGGTAGCAGGAAGCTCTCCCACACACTCACCAGACCTGGGCTAGGACTGGGTCTGGGGGTTCCCGGAATGCCCAGGTGCTATATGTTGGTTGGCAGTGTACCACCTGCCCTGGTGATGGCAGAGTGCTCAGGACAGCAAGGCCAAAAAGCCAGCAAAACTGCTGATAGAAAGTTTCACAAGAATGCAAGGGGCTCCCTGGTACAGGCAGCAGCAGTGCCCCTACCACAAGGGGCAGTCCCAAAGCTGACTGTGTCATGGGCTATTGTGGCAGTCAGTGGCCAGGCCAACTGGGGGACATTGTTGTCCCTTCCCAGCAGGACTGCAGGTGGCTGTGTTGGGGCCCACTCCTCTGTGTGTCATCACCTATGATGCAGGCCTTTCTCATGCAGCCACAACAGAGACCTAAGATGTCTACCACCCATACTGACCCCACAGTCCTATGCCAGCCAGGAGCTCTGGTCATGTTGTGCTGAGTTGGCTCTGAGCAGGTGACTTTCTCTCCTGGGGCCAAAAGGGCTGGGGTCTGCACAATGGCACCGGGTTCATATCTCTGGCCCATGCAGACCAGGCCAGGCAGCTAGAATTAGAGCCCATCCAACACACAGGTTCTTGATGTTTAATTAATGTGTCTGGAGAAAAGTATTCAACACAGAAAAGAATGCACAGGGCTGACTGCTGCACATATGCCCCAGGAAGACGCCCACCCAACAGCCCTGTGCTTCAGGCAAGCCTAGCTTGAAGGAGGCTGTGCCCTTGGTCCCGATAGGCTGCAAGCTCCTCTCCCGCACAGGGCAGGAACAGGAACTATGTTGAGGGGCCCAGGCCAGCAAGGCTGGAGCTTCCTTCCCATCCCTCCCAGGTAGCTTCTCACACACCACAGAGAAGCTAGACACTGATTCAGAGGAGTATCATTCACACATGCAAGCACCTATGACAAGCAGAAGGTCACCATTCACCCATGGCCTGGGGATAGCTCCCACCCGCTCTGGAGGCCCAGGACCCTGAGGACAGATAAGAATTCACAGTTTAGCCAGGCCTGAGGGAAGGCACCCCTCCCACCAGCCCAGGACCTGGTGGGGCTAGTGATCCTACTTCACTAGCCCCTGGAAACAGACTGGCTCCACCCTCCCTCAGAGTGAAGGCACAGGCCTGGTGGACATGGAAGATCCCACCCCTCTCAGAAAACAAAGGCAGCCTAGGCCCACTGTACAATGTGGGGTCCATTGGCCAGGTAGTTGCCCTGAGCATCCCCAGCAGGCTCCAGCCACTGCTGAGAGTGATGCAGAGCCAAGGGCCTCAACAGCTGCCAGCAGCAAAGGCCTTTAACCTAAGACAGGTGGACCCTGTGGCTTGGGTCCCTGTAGGACCACAGAGGGCCAGTGTCACTGTTTGCATCCTCAGCACTGGGGTGGTAACGACCTGGTAGGACACTGGCTTGGGTCACCAGCTGGGGTTAGGTCAGGACAGCAAATGGAGGTGCTGCCTCTGCTTGGGAATCATTCCACCTGCTGGGCTGCGTCAGAAGAAGATGGGGGTCAGGCCTTGGCCCCAATCCCTATGGGCCCTTCGCCGTCCTCCATGCTGTCCTCAGGGGGCAGTGGCAGAGCTGAAGGCTGCAGGCCATGCAGGTTCCCATCCTGCATGCTCAGCACCGACACAACCTTCTCTGAGGGGCTCTGCAATTCCTGGACCACAGGCAGGGGTTGGTGGTGGCTCTGCCGGAAGTGACACAGGATATCCAGCAGCGCGCCCAGGAAGTAGACTATGGACAGCACCAGGAAGTACACGAAGTAGACTTGGAACTGGAACAGAGAGGTGCAGGTAAGCAAGGCTGGAGCAGAAGAGAAGACATAAGGGAGGGAAAGAGGAAGGGGGTTCAGACTGCCCCCACACATGACTCTCTCAGTCCAGTATGCCACCCACCCATCCTGCCCAAGATCCACTAAACACTGCATAGAGTCACAGGGCCCAGAAGCAAGTCCCACAGCAGCTGCCCTATCCCCTGCCTTCCGTCACCTGGGGAGCACTGAACAGTTCCTGCCTTTCAGAGATTGCAGGGGGATGCCAGCACATGTCCTGAACTAGATGACCTCAGCTCCGTCTCTGTGGGGCTGTGTTCCTTAGAAGACCTCTCAGCCCACATCCCATGGTGCCAGAACTTTTTGGTCTGAGCTTGGCAGAGGGCACACCAGACAGCTAGCAGGAAGCCTGGGCAGACGCTACATAATACCAACTAGAGACAGCCAGCCCAGCTGGAGACGCCCCCTCCTCGTTCCCAGAGTGCCCAGGGTAAGAAGGGCTGGGCTATCCTTGAACACAGGGAAGTCTGAATTATGTCACAGAGCCCAGGAGGCAGAATAGCCTTGGTGCCAGAAGGAGCTCCCAAAGCTTCTTGTAGGACCTTGTAGAAAGCTCAGTCTAGGGCCATCTCCCAGGACTTCATGCCCATATGGGTGGGGTTGGAGGGGCTCTGTGCTCTTTCCCAGCATAGGTCAAACCCCAGGGCACTGCAGGACACAGTGCACATGAGGCCTCAGGACCCCAGGAGCACTCCAGTCTCATAGGGATTTTCTTTTTGAAATTAAAGAAGCCCACAGCCTAGAGATGCTGACAGAAGAGTCCAATACAGCACACTGGCCCGAGGATCAGGATAGGTGGTCCTCAGACAAAGAACATCTGCTCCAGCCAAGCCCACCCCATGCAGTGGGCTGGCAGAAGACTCTGACATCCCTACCTGGTGTGGTAGGAAGTCGATTCCCTCCCATGGAGTGACAATGACCCTGCCTCCACTCACCAACTCCACATAAACCTCAAGGGGTGGCTGGGATTGCTCTCCCGCACACGGGTGTCAAGGAGACCAGGGGTCTGGACTTTGGGCCCATCAGGCAGAAAGGACAATATCCTACTCTGACAGCATATTGGAGCCAATACCAACTGGGGACAGCCAGGGGAAGGAAGTGGAATTCCTGCCTCTCCCAGCTACATGTCACCTGGATGAGGGGGACCTGCCTTTCACCTGCCCAGCTGAAATCAGGTACAACCCTCCTACCTCAAGGGTACAGTAAGGTCAGGAGATGGCTCAAGTGCAGTCTACAGTCTCACACTGAAAGCTCCCTAACCCAAAACAGAAATGACAGCTGTTCTCACAGGACAGGTTCAAAGCAACCATCACAAGATACAGTAGCAAGCATGTAGGGAAGCAGTAGAAACACACATTCCACAAAGGTTAGACAGGAGGGACAATAAAGAAGTCAACTCAAGATGCACACTGATGAAGAAAAAAAGAATTGGATACCAGCAGGCCTACCTAAAATGATAGCAAACAGCCTTGCAAAGAGAAAAGAAAGGTATAAGAAGGCTGCAAAACGGAGACACACTAGGGCAGAGTTCCTTTTCTTGGGTTTTCTAAATTATGCCTGATAAGTAAAGCAAAATCATGTTGCTCTTGAGGCAAGTGGGGGAAATACCAAGACAATTACATTACAAGAGTACAAGTGACACAGGAAAAGGCAGTTTTTACACTTCTCACATTGTGCCCTATAGGGGCAGCTGTCAAAATGTCACATTGAGAAATACAAGGGATAAACCCAAGCAAAATCCTATATGTAAGTCACCCATCAGAAAAGTGGAAAAAGAAAATACTAAAAACAGACCATGCAAAAAATGAAACCTGAAACAGTAGGCCCCAGCCCTAATGTGTAAATCTGTAAAATGGTCCAAATATGCCAAGTTAAGGCAGCAGTTGGCAGGATGGACAAAAAGCAGGAATCTGCTACAAGAAACTCACTTGAATACCTGCAGACAGCAGGCTGTATCAGAAGAGCAGGGGCAAAGAGACACAGGGAAGGCAGGTGGCAGAGAGGGATGAGGACAGAGACGGGCATGGTAAAGGTGCGGATCAGTCCAGCAAGATGAGCACACACACCCAATCAAACATGCACGCAGCACACAGGAGACTAGTCACCAGGCTGTGCTAACCAGCACCCCTGAAGTCCCTCCCAAAGTATCAACAGAGCACAAAGACCACATCCCCTGCCCAGTGCAACCTGGGCTCCAGGAGAACAAAGGCCTCCTCCAGGCCAGCAGAGGGTGCTGTCTCATCACAGGCTGGGGAGTTGGACCCAGCCCAGTCACCACCCCTTCCAGGTATACACCTGGCTAACTTCAGCTGGCTCAGAGGCCCTGCCTCTGCCACACACAAGGAGAAAAGGTGCAAGTGTCAGTGGTCAAGAGTTTTTAAGTTCTTCTCAGAAACATCAGAAGACTTGCCTGGGGTGGGTTAAGCCACTGGCCAACTCACTAAGGCAGAGCTTTGGGACTCTGCTTTGCTTCCTCCTTACAGAAACATACTCCTGTTCCCTAGGCAAGGCTCAAGGCCACCAGGCCCTAACCATGAGATGACAGGGCAGGGCTGTGACAACACAGGCCTGGTGACACAGGCCAGGGCGGGGCCACACTGCCAAGGGAGGCCCCCACTTTGGGCCTAGCACCCAGGCCCTCCCTGGAGGCCTGGGGTCTCACTGGAGATAAAACAAACCAGCCTGAGCAGTGAGCAGCTCAAATGGCCAGTGTAGGCAGAGGGTCTGTCATACTCCACAGACCCAGGGCCCTGGACAGGTGGGCACCAGGAGACTCAATCAGCCTTCCTAAGGTCCCACTCCAACATAGCCCCACCAGCCTGGAGATGTTGTCTGTGCCCCTGAAGGTCTCCAAGTGGACACCAGAAGGCTCTGCCAGGATTGCAGAATGCTTCCCTCCAAAAGGAGCAAGCCTGGCCTGGGCTCACCTGCGAGTGGACATCAAGGAACAGGCCCCGCTTGTCAGAAACGACTAGTGTGATGGAGGTCTTGAGAACAGTGGCCAGGAACGTGTTGATCCCAAAGACCAGTGCACACAGCTCTTTAGATAGGGAAGACGCAATCCGGAAGCTGGGAAGACCAAGCAGTGATCAGACTTACTGGGGTGGTGCCAGGTACCAGGCCTGGTGGATTCTAGCAGCACAATCTGGTAGGGACCTGCTGGGCACTGGCAGCCTCGCCCCACCCCCAGGATGCAAAGCCCCATCCCAGCATTCTATGGCTGCTCAGGCAGGCCCTGCCCCAGGCATACAGTTCTACTCCTACCCCACCCACAGGCCCCCAGCCTGCTCTCAGCCCCTCCCTCCATGCAGCAGCTCACAGATGCAGTGCAGGTAGGTGCAAAGCCTAGAGTCCAGGACTCCCCACATCAGCACCTGCCCTGAATCTGGCCTCTCTCTAGCAACAGAATGGGTGCTACAAATGAAAAAGATCCCTGGAGAGCCTACTACAGAATGCTCTGAAAATCCTCATCCCAAAAGCAGGCACACAGGGCTGGGGATATAGGTTGGTGGCATAAGTGCCTGCCTGGCAAGCACAAGGTCCTAAGTTCAGACTCTGGTACCACCAAAAAACAAAAGTAGGTCCACAGGGAAGGGTAGGGTGAAGGTCAGGTATGGCTAAATACTCTGTGCATGAGAAGAGTGCACAAGGAGCAAGAATAAGAACTTATCACATGGGGGCCGGGGAGATGGCTCAGTAGGATAAGTGCCTGACTGGCAAACGCAAGGATCTGAGTTCAATCCCCGGTTCTGCCAAAAAAAAAAAAAAAAGAACTCATCACAGAAAGGGCAAAGGTATGCAGGGGCCAGTGCCACAGAGTTAGGGCCAGGCTTCCCACACCAGAGACAGACTGGGTAGATGTGCAGGAAAGAGATGTACAAGCACTGGACAGTCCAGCAAGGCACGGGGACTGGGCCACACCTGGGGAGGGGCTGATTCCACAGGTCGGGAGCAGGAGGCTGGATAAGAGGAGGCTGGCAAAGTCCTCAAGAAAGGGAGTGGGAATCCAGGAAAGTTCACGTTGTGTGGGTGAGCCTGTGTGCACACATGGTAAGTGTGTACATGAGTAATATGTGGCTCTACATGGTGTCTGTGGTGTGTGCACATGTATTTATGCATGTGTATGTATAAGGATGTGAGCATGTAGGTATGTAGGCATGTGTATGGTGTCTGTGTTGTGGCTGCATATGTACTATGGTGTGCATGTGCGAGAATATAGTATATATGTGCAGTATATAAATGATATCTGTATGATGCAGGTACATGTGTACGTACTATGCAGTGTATATGTATGTGAGTGATGGAACATATATGTATATGTGTACCATGGTATGTGCATGTGTGGTAAGTGGTGAACATGGGTCACATGCTGAGACCCAGGCATGTGCTAGGAACAGAGGCAAGGGCATCCAACAAGGACAACCTCCTATGTAGTCCACTCACATCATGCTTCCCACAGTCCCTTCTGGAAGTGCCTCCCACCTGCCTACTCACGTGGCAATGGGCACGAGAAACTGATAGGCTCCACGGAAGACCACGAAGGCAGCATAGCAAAGCCAGATGTTTTTGGTGGTGTATAGAAGGAAGACCAGCCCAGCCTGGATAGCAGTCACAGCTGCGATGACCAGCTTCGACCATAGGGCCCAACGGATCTTCAGGAAGCCCGCGGCAAAAGATGTGATGGCGCCTGGGAACAAGGTGCATCAGGGTGGCTCGGCCAGGAAGCTGCAGCAGGGTGGGGCAGCTCAGGCCAGGGACCAGGGCATGGGAGGGGTCAAGCTGGGCGCAGGCATGGGGCTGCACCATACCCAACAGCGTGGAGGCAGCATCAGCTGCACCATTGTAGACATGGGTGCTGTCAGTAGTGGGGTGCACCACGTTCCACAGGATGTGCACATAGTAGACGATCAGGTAGTAGCCAGCTGAGTTGAAGACCCACCAGAGACACCAGAGGCGCAGCTGTGGCAGCTGCAGATTGGCCCCCAGCTCACGCAGCATGCGCACCAGGAAGGAGTCCCTGCAGGTGTGCAGCACACGCTCCAGCTTCCCATGGGGTTCTGGCCGGCCCACACTGGGGTGCATCTGGTCCAGCTCACAAGGCAAGGCTCCCTGCACAGGCACGCTGCGGTTGAAGAAGAGGCTGCGTTTGGGGCGCTTCAGGAAGAGGGCAAGGCCCAGGCTGAAGATGAGGAAGCCCAGGGAGATGTAGTTGAGCACAGGGAAGGACATGCGGCCCACTGTGACCAGCAACTGGCCCAGCACTGAGCTGGTGAAGACTCCCAGCAGCACTGCCGCCCGGGAGTAGCTGGCCATGCGCTGGTAATGGGTGGGGCACACCAGTGAGAAGATGTAGGAGGAATAGGCAATGCGGGCAGCCATGGTGATGCTGTAGAAGGCCTCCATGAGCTGCATGTGCAGCACTGAGCTGCCGAAGAGCAGCAGCAGCCAAACACACACATAGCTTAGGCCCTGTAGCAGCAGCACTGGCTTGTAGCGCAGGTAATCAGTGATCAAGAAGATGGGCACCAGCACTGCCAGGTAAGAGTAGGTCAGCACCGGCATGATCTCGTTGGTTACCTGTAGATAGGGGAGACCAGCTTTAGCAACGCTGACCACTCTGAGAGCCCATACCCAGCCTTAGAGGCTGCTCTGCCCCAGCGTCCACAATCTCAGCAGACCACTCCGCAATCCTCCTGCCTCTCTGCCCTACCACACAGGTCCTACGACATCCCTCACTCTCTGACCCCCATCATCAGTCCACCCAGGATGTCAAGGAACCTGGCAGTGACCCCACACAGTCAGGAGGAAGAAGCAGTTGCCCACAGAAAGCTGGCAATTATATAGGAAAAAAACACTGCTCCTCCAGTTTAGCTCATGTTAATGTAGGTTCTCTTATTTGTACTAGAATAGATTTGGCTTGACTGTGTTCTGATTTAACAATGTGGGAAACAGTAACGCAGCACAAGCCACCTCTGTGCTTTAGGAGGAAAGGGAGCATTAACCCAAGGGAAAGGGGAGAGAGAAGGAGCACTCAGAACAGGTTTCCCTCAGAGGAGGGAGACCAAGAACAGTAAGAAAGGCTAGAGAGCCACAGCTCTGCAGCCTCACAAAGTCCCCAGGGCCATCTTTTAGGCAGTCTCTGTCCCAGGGATCAGGTAGTGGCTAAGGCCTTGCCACCAATTACACTGCCTGCTGGGGAAGAATGGGTAGAAATACCTGCCATACCTAGCAGAACTAGTGGGCAGTGTCCACAGGAACTGAACACCACAGTCCTGGCTAGGGCAGCGGCTGCTGGGTTCCCTGGACTGCTCCTATTCACCTTTGTCAGTGTTCAAGGGTGAGTACAGGGAATGTTCTAGAATCTTCAGGGGTAGGGTATAGGCAATGTCTAGAATTGTCAGGTGTGAGGGTGCAGGGAATGTTCTAGAATCTTCAGGGGTAGGGTATAGGCAATGTCTAGAATTGTCAGGTGTGAGGGTGCAGGGAATGTTCTAGAATCTTCAGGTGTGAGGGTTCAGGAGTATTGTAAGATTTTAGGGGGCAGGTGAGTGACTGTTCTAGGACCCTTAGTAATAGAGAGTAGGGCATATTCTAAGAGCCTTGAACCTTGTTAGTGGTCTTTAGACACAGAGGCAGGCACGGGGCAGAGGTCAGAAGGCACTGCCCCAGCCTCAACCCAAGAAGGTCCAGCCTTAGGAACTCTGCAGAGGTCTACCCCCACAAGAAGCCCAGATGCCCAGCCTTGCCTGTCCTGGAGGTCAGACAAGGGAGTCACCCTGTACCTATGGCCTCCTCCTGGGCTGAGTTGGGGTTTAGTGAGCGGCTTTCCCACCTTCCAGCCGCCAGGTACAGGACGGAAGCTGACAGGCCTTGCTGAGCTCCTGAAGGTGTGGTTCAGGGGCCACCCAGTCTTAGGCATTAATCCTGACTTGATCAACAACAACCCCACAACCCTGCCTGGGGATCTTACAGTTCCACTTCACTGCCCAAACCTCAAGACACCAGGCTTGAGCCCCAGAGTCCTATATAGGGGCATATGCCTGGCCATTCCCCCTCCCCAGGTCAAAGATGTGTTGCTGGCATTCCTGTGGCCAGCTGAAGGACTCTATACTAGGCTCGGCAGCTTGAGGACCAGCAGGTGAAGTTCCTACAGGCCTCAGGGAGACTGTCAGAAGACCCCTCACCTGCGTGGGCACTCCTCCTGAACCTGCACCCCAAAGAGCAGCCCCAGAAGGTGGAGCCCAAAGGCTCTGGGGTCCTCAGTCTCTGCCTTGTTCATATGTGGACATTCCAGAACATTTTCAGAGGAAGCCAGACCCCAGAATGCTGAGTGACCTGGTAGGGTCCAGCTGCAGGGGGCTGTGTTTTTGTTAATGGTGAAATCCTGCGGATACCAAAGAACTAACTACTGCCTGGCCAGACTCTGTCAGGATTTGAAAAGGAGCAGCTCAGGAGTGCAAGCCCAGCAGCACCTTAGGGACCATGGTGACAGTACCACTGGCTAACATGTAGGTCAGGTCTAAGCCCTGACAAAGCAAAAGACCATGTGAGAGAGGTCTGAGTTTATGGACACCCACTCCACCAATCTGCTCTCCAAGCCAAGGCTGGGCAGAGGCCAGGTGCCTCTGGGTTTTGCTCTAGCTCCTGCTGCAGCACCCTGCCTACCAAATGCAGGTGCTGGGTGGACCACAGAGCACCCTGCACCCTCAACCTTGCAGCCTCCTCTACTGCCCCTAGACTTGGCCAATGGACAAGCAAAGGCCCTGCCCTAGGCTGTGACCTGGGCCCCCAGGAAAGCTGCTGGGGGAAGGCCACACCAAAGGTCCCATGAGTACAGGTATCACAGAAGCCAGGGCTGACATAGGATGCACTCCTAGTGGCTGGACCCAGTACTGCCAAGGTGTCCCTCAGGCCTTGAGTGGCAAAGATAGTGCAGAGAAGATCATAATCTGGACCCAGGCAGGGGCAGGACCTGGGCAGCCACAACCTATAAGAAGGACCAGGCATGGGGTCAATAGGACAGCATCAGAAAAGATGGTTCCTGATGTGATGTGAACACTCCCTGCACCCCACTCTCAGAGCTCCTAGAATATACCCTACACTCCATAAGTGAGGGTCCTAAAACAGTCACTCACCCACATGCTGAGATCTTACAACATTCCTGAACCCTCACACCTGAAGATTCTACAACACTCCCTATACCCTCACACCTGACAATTCTAGACACTGCCTATACCCTACCCCTGAAGATTCTAGAACATTCCCTGTATTCACCCTTGAACACTAACAAGTACCTGAATTGTCCTTGGACTGATGAGAACCTGCAAGCCACCTGCTTGCCTCACTGCAAAGCACTACAGCAATGCTTGTGGCTTTATGGCTGATCACAGGCAAGCTCCAAGATCAGCCCTGATCCTACATGAATATATCTTCCACATCAAAGGACATGAAGGCAGATTCTAAAAGTTGTAACCTGAAACACCATCAATGGTCCCTCTTGACTGAGGCCCAGACATGACAGGGCTACCAAGTATCCCTCAGTACCCAGAGGGCTAAGGCCAGAGGACTTGACCACAGCGAAGTTTCTGGTGACCATCTCTCCAAAGATAGCCAAACCGGTAAGGGGTTAAAGTTAACCTCTGTGATGACTTTTTGATTTTGTACAGTACTGGGAATAGAACTCAAGGCTTTTGCATTGAGCTACACCCCCAGTTTTGAGACAGAGTTTAGCTAAGTTGCCCATGCTGGGCTCAAACTTACTGGCTTTTTTGCTTTATTCTCCCAGAGTGCTTGGATTACAGGCCACATCCAGCTTAGAATCTACTTTTTAATCCACTAATGTCCAAAACAAGAGCAAGAAGGCAGGATTTCTAACATTTCTGTGATAGTTGTTCCATGTTAAGAGCTTCACACACATGCTGATATCTGGACAGGCCCCTGAGTAAGCGCCAAGAAGCTGGTGGGAATGCAGGAGGCAGGAAGGTGAGGACACCATCACTCTCTCCTTTCATGGTCATGTTTTTACAAAGCACACGACCAAAGTTCAAGACAGAACATAGCAGGTTCAGGCCTCTTATCTCAGCTTAAGCTTATTAGTTGAATTTCAATAGGACCCTCTGTCCAGAGGCTGAGTAAAAGGAAAAAATTCCTTCACTAATCTCTTTCCACAAAGAGCTGCACAGTCCTTGCTGGAGTGGGGCGCCCAGCAGGGTGGACACAGCTGAGGGCTTTCTTCCTGGCAGAGCAGAGTGGCCAGCCTGCAGGCACCAGCTCCTTTGCCCTCCAACCCAGCAGCACTCCCTCTGCAAGATCCAAGAACACTTGAATCCAGCTTGCTGTGGAGAGTGACCCTTGATCTCCCACAGCCACTTACCTCCCCAGCCTTGGCTGCTGAAGGTCCAGAGTGACAGAAACCCCACCCTTCAGTACCACCTGTCCCCTAGCACCTTACGTCCACTTGCCTGCTCTTTGGTGAAGTTCTTGAAGGGCCCCAGGAGGTAGGGAGTGATGAAGCTCTCACCCGGCCGCATCTGTGCCATGAAGCCATAAAAGCAGAGGAAGGTCACCAGACAGCGCCAAGCCTTGTGCTCCAGGCCAGGCCCAGGCTCCTCCTCTGGTGCTTGCTTCTCTTCCACCTGGCCAGAGGGCATCATTCCACTTGGGCCCACGGGGCCCCTGGAGGTGACTGAAGGTGACCTCTACCTAGAGGGAAGAGTTGAGCATCAGAGTAATATGACAGAGGACTCTCAGTACCCCTTTGCTCCCACTGCTTGTTCAACTTGGACACTGATCAGAGCCCAGTGCCATATCCCTGACCAGTCCTTATCACCAACCTGAGACTTACATGCACCCAGAAGTCCAGTCCCACACCAGGCTGGCACTGTCTCCTGGTCTCCAGGGCAGACAGGAAACTCCAGCCCTGAGTCCAGCCCACAGCAGTCATTTAAAGGTTAATTAAAGCCAACTTAGTGAACTAATTTACTGACTTTATTAACTATATTAATAATGTCCAAAATTCACATTTGGAGGCACAGCACTCATTCTGTGTCACTGACGCCGTATAGCCACATTCCCTTCCTCTCCCTGGTGGGTGTAGGGGACAGGGTCTCTGACTGCTGGTGTTGGCAGAAATGAATAGACACGTCCCATGCAAGCTGCTGTCCTAGCAGCACCCAAGGGCCAGAGAGAAGACAAAAAGAATGGTGTGCGCCTGCCACAAGCCATAGGCTGGAGGATCTGGGGGTGGACTCTTCATGGGCTGGGAATAGGCAGAAGACACTGGGAAAGGGGACAGGGAAGGTGTCCACCAGGGGCTCAGGGTAGCCTCAGAGCAAAACAAAGTATGAAAAGGGAAAGGGGGGCCGGGAAGATGGCTCAGTAGAATAAGCACTTGCCTGGCAAACGTAAGGGCCTGAGTTCAATCCCCGGTTCCGCAAAAAAAAAAAAAGGGGAAAGGAACAGAGCTCAAGGATCCTATATGTCCAGGAATAGCCCAAGGCCTGCACTGGGAAACAAATGTGACCTTCTGGATGGAGCTCCCCAGATGCTGGGCATCCAGCCCACTGTCCTTGGGGCTGGTCTCTCAACATGCAGGCCTGAAGCACTCTGGGTGGCCAGAACAGGTAATGTGAGGTTTTTGCTTAGTCTTATCTTCCAATTCTGTCTGGAACAGAGGCTCCATCTATCTGGCATTGGGAGATGAACCCCATGTGCTGCTGACTATCCTGTCTAACAAGGTAGGCCACACTCATCTGCCTACCAAGTCACTAGGGCCTAATTTTACTTCCCCACCAGCTACCAGGTTCCTTGTAGCTAAAACATGAGCTGTCAGGAGCCAGGGTCCATGGCAGGGACCACTTACAACAATCAGGAAGCCAGCCTCCCACTCTCTGGGACAGGGTCTCCCTAACAGCCTCACTCAAGGTGCCCTCCTTCCAAAGGCTGGGCCTGGCTTGGCTGTGTCACGTTGGCTAAGGCAGGATAAAGACATGCTGGGTACAGAGGTGACCTGTCCCTCCTGGGCTGACTCACAGGTGCCTGGACTGCCAAGGGAGGGTGTGTGCAGGTCTGGAAGCAGAGAAAACCCCCTCCAACCTTCAGGCAAGGGCAGAGAAAGCTCCCAGTTTTGACACAGACCAGTTCTGGGGGCCCAGAGGCCCAGCACTTGGACCCTGGCTGAGAGCTCTCCAGCTGGAGGGGCTCCCTCCCCCCACTAGGGACATACAGACCCCAGAAAGCAAGAGGGCCTGGGGGACTACTGGTAGGTAGGCACCCAGGCCTGCACAGGCAATGCCCGTGGCTTTGGGATTGCCCAGGACCCCATGCTTTTGGTCCCAGTAGTTTCCTTTCTATGAGAAGGGAGAATGTGGGGTTACAGGAGGACTCGTATATTTGTGGGGCTGCAGGGATGAGAACGGCTGTGGAATTCCAGAGCCACAGCAGGGAGCACAGGGTGACACACAGCAGTGACAGCGACCTCGGAAGTCACAGGGCCTGGGACAAAGCCCACATCCTCAGAGGGCCAGAATGAAAGCAAACAGCTAGGCAGGGTCCTGGCTACCTCCTGAGCACCAGAGAAGAGACACAAGCACAAGACAAGCTTCCTCAGGTGAACAAACTCCAAGGCCGCTTTTCTTGGCCTTGCTCTTCCTGACCTCCCTGAGAGTGAATGGAAACAGCTGCAGAAGGGCTAAGTAGTGAGGCTCAGGTTCAGCCCTCCACAGTAACCCTGTATAGAAAGCTGGGGCAGACCAGGCAGAGCAGCACCTGCATCCAGCCCACTGCTGCACAGTGCCCCTCTGTGTTACTTGATACATTGTGTCAACTTGGCTGAATCAGCTGGCAGATCTCAGCGTGGGGGCCTAGCCCTGCAGGTGGGCAAGGCCCAGGAATAGAGAAAGGCAGGAAGGCGCCCTGCCTGGTTTCCTGCCGCCTTGCCCCGCTTCCATGGAGAAGTCTCAGTCTTAGGAGGAGCTTGATCTTGGCAGCTGTGCCACTTTGGAGGAGCTCCGATCTTCACTGTGGAGCGCTGGTCTTCGACGGACACTGCAGGTGCCGCTCCTCCTCTGCTCCTCATTCTCAACATAAATCTGACTAAAAGCCCTCAGCAACAACCACGCCACTTCCCCAATATTTGGCTGCTTTGAAATTGCTTTTTTCAAATTAACTAGTCCACTATGCTTAATCTCAGTCTCAGGCAGTCTCTGGACAGGAGTAAAATGCAGACAAACTTTTTGCCAATCCATAACACAAATCATCCACAGTCCAACAACCAATGCTGTCCTCCTTCCCAGCAGAAACCTCCCCAGCCTGGTCTTTACAGTCAGGCCTCCTATCAGCATTCTGGTTTGCGCTCTGGCCAGAATCTCCCAAACAGAACAGCTGAAGCTGTTTCAGTGCTTCGCTTGTAGGCGACATCTCTAAACCTTTCCTATCTCTTCCCATAAGCCGTTCCCAAAAGCTTGTAATCCACATTGTCAGGTATAGCCACAGCAATGACCCCACTCCTGGTACCAAATTCTGTCTTAGTTACTATTCTCTCATTGCTGGGACAAATACCTGACACTCAAAATGAAGGAAGGAAAGGTTTATTTAGCTTACAGTTACTGGAGGTTTCAGTCCATATTCAGCTGGCTCCAAGGCAGAGTGGGGCAAGGCAGAGAGCAACCCTTCATGGCGGTGGCAAAGAGCAAGCCAGAGGGAGGAGTAGCAGCAGCTCAAGAAGCTAGCTTCTCTTCCCACCTTACATTGTAATGCAAATTACCTGTCCCAGGGCAGGTGCAGCATCCATACCCACAGTAATCAATCACAAACTCCAGAAGCCACCACAAGACTGCATGAGGCTTTTGGGGAGACACCTAGACACAAACCATAACACCCTCACCTACATAACTGGCCCTGCTGGCAGGATCCAGGCTCCTGTACCCGGGGCACAGGCTCAGAGACCCTGGGCTTGGCCCTTGTTGGAAAGGTGGCATCCATGCTGAGGACAGTTCCGGGCTCCTGACAAATTTCTAGATGCCAGCACAGTGCTCTCACAGCTTCACTGACCTCTGGGCATTTCTTAGGCTGCTGCAGAGCTCATTAAGGAGCCTCTCCTGTCTGTCTGAAGCTCAGGATGCAGCCCAGGACCCATCTTTCAATATGTCCCATAGGAAAGCTGGAGCAGGCAGCTCACCACACCAGGAGAAGCCCCTCACAGGACCGAAATGCCGAGGACATCCAGAGTTACAGACCTGGCACAGCAGTCCCCAGTGTTCAGATGAGTTCTGGAAGTGGACAACCCAGTGTGTCTTCCGGGGGACTATGATCACACATAGGGGAACCTGACTATCCAGAAGTGATCTACAGGTAAGGAGCCACATTAGCTGATGTTTAGTGACCCATAACATATACAGGGTTGGCCAGGGCAGAAAGCAAAGCCAGCGAAAGCGCTCATTGGGTAAAAGACCAAAGCTGCCTTTTGCAAGTTCCATCCCATCCCTAGACTAAGGTCTAGGCTCAAGGCCACTCCCTCCAGCCCCCTCACACCATTTGGGGACACTGCCAGAATGGGGACACCCTAATTCTGGTGAAGAGGCCCAAGAGATTGGCCAAAGCTCCTGGGATCCCTGTTTTCTGAACACATGATGACCAAGGGGTAAGGCGTGTCCTCACAGGGTGGGCTCTGTGACATGCTTCTGTGACCTCCTCCTGGGACCATGCTCCAAGTCTGCAGACTCTTAGCTGGCAAGTTTCCTTGCTAGGCATGGTGCCTTCTGCCTGGACCATCTCCATAAACACACACTCATAGAAATTCAGCTGCCCCCAGGGGGCA